AGTAGTAGTAATAGTAGTAGTAGCAGTAGTAGTAGTAGTAGTAGTAGTAGCGGCGGGTGTAGTAGTAGTAGTAGTAGTGGTAGTGCCAGTAAAATTCGTAGTATTAGTAGTAGTACTTGTGGAGGGCATAGAATTCCAAGTGGTAGTGGTTGTAATAGTAGTAGTAGTAGTAGTAGTAGTAGTAGTAGTAGTAGTAGTAGTAGTAGTAGTAGTTGTTGTAGTGGTACTAGGATAGATGTAGTACGACTAGAAGTCGGAGTAGCACTCGTAGTAGTTGTAGTAGTAGTAGTAGTAGTAGTAGTAGTAGTAGTAGTAGTAGTACAAGTAGTACAAGTAGTACAAGTAGTAGTAGTAGTAGTAGTAGTAGTAGTAGTAGTAGTAGTAGCCGTCGCAGTCGTAGTAGTAGTGGTCGTAGCACAAGTAGTAGCAGTAGTGGTCGTAGCACAAGTAGTAGTAGTAGTAGTAGTCGTAGTAGTGGTAGTAGTGGTGGTAGTAGTATCCGTAGTAGTAGTAGTAGTAGTAGTAGTAACAGTAGTAGTAGTAGTAGTAGTAGTAGTAGTAGTAGTAGTTCCAGTCGTATTAGTCATATGACTATTAGCATCATTAGCCGTAGTAATACAAACACTAGGCCGTACTAGCAGCAGTAGTAGTAAACGTACCACTTCACAGCGCCAACGACAATAAAACCACAACTAAAGTGAGACGATCAAGAACGACAGTAGTTGCAGCAGCAGACATACACGTAGCCGAAGTACTGCTCGTACTAGTAGTGCGAGATGCCAGTACTAAGTTAGTACTGTTTACGGTGGTAAGTGTAGGAGCACATGCGTTCTGCTATAATATGTCCCGCTGGCCGAACATGAGCAGCCCCGCACAGGGGGTATGCCGTGCCGACTGCACGGGTGCAACCAAAAGAGCTCCAAGAGGGCCCCGCGGGGCAAACATCGCCCCAATTCCGTGGATAAGCGCACATGCTTAGCATGCTCGCCGCATCGATCCGAAGAGCGTCCAAAAATGGCAGACACAGGCCCCAACACTGCCCCTAAATATGACACCGGCGGGCCCAAACACGGCCGAGCAAGCGCCCAATGGTGCCCAACGGGGCCCCCGAGATCGCCAGCGGGCTCCGCAGAAAAGCTCCCCCTCGGATTCCTGATCCCGCTCGTCACCCTTGCCCTCATCAATCCTGCGCCTCCGCCTTCCCCTCCTCCTCCTCCCCTTCCTCCTCCTCCTCCTCCTCCTCCTCCCCGTCCTCTCCTCCTCCTCCTCCTCATACTCCTCCTTCTCCCCCATCATCGTCATCATCATCACCCTCGTCGCCATGAAGCATCCACCTCTCCCCCTGGTGCTCCTCCTCAGGCCCCTTACTATCCCAGTCGCCCCGCGCTCCCCCTCCCCCCCGCCCTGGAGTAGGACGAGCCCAATGGAGCCGAGGACGGCCCCAAGGGAGCCCCAAGCGGCCTCACTGTCATCATTATCATCAGCAGCAGCGGCGTCATCAACGTCATGCGCATATTCGCCCCGTCGTGGCAATCGTCTTTATAATCCTCGTCCTCGTCATCATCATCGTCATTGTCATAATTATCATCAGCAGCAGCAGCGGCATCACCAACGTCATGCTCATGATCATCAGGTTCGCCGCCGTTGTGACAATCGTCGTTATCACCATCATCATCCTCCTCCTCATCATTATCATCATCATCGCCACCATCATCGTCATCAACGTCAGTACTATGACCAACGTCACCACCGTCATCGTCGTCATCACCTTCATCATCATCATCACCATCACCATCACATTCATCACCATCCTCATCATCATCATTATCATCATCATCGTCACCACCACCACCACCATCATCATCATCATCAACATCATCATCACCTTCCTCATCACCATCGCCCCCTCGTCTGCCAAAATCCTCTTCCTCCTCCTCCTCCTCTTCATCCTCCCTCTTATTGCCCTCAAGCCGTGTTCCTCTTCCTTATCCTCACCTTCCTCAACGTCAGCACCATCGTCATCCTCACACTTATTCCGCCCATCCTCCTCCTCGTCCTGCTCCTCCTCATCCTCCTCCTCGTCTTCCCAGGGGGCGGTGCCCGAGAGACGACGGCGACAGCGACGACGACGACGGCGGCGGCGGCTTCGGCGGCGGCGGCCGCGGCGGCGGCGAGGGCCCCCCGTGGCCCCCAGTGCCCCCCGCGACGAGCGGGCGGCGTCCACGCCAGCGCCGAGCAGGCGGCGACGACGCAACGACCACGATGGCGATGACGATGACCACGACGACCAATGACGACGACGACGACGACGACGACGACGACGACGACGACGACGACGGCGTCGACTAACGGCGACGACTAACGACGACGAAAGACGCCGTCGTTTTTCCACCTTCCCTCTCCTCCCTCGTCCTCCCCCTCCCCCGCTCCTCCTCCTCCTCCTCCTCCTCCGCCTCCTCCTCCGCCTCCTCCGTCGTCAGAATCTTTCAGAATCGATCAGGATCTCTCCGAATCTCTCCAAATCTTTCAAAATCTTTCAGAATCTCTCAGAATCTCTCAGAATCTTTCAGAATCTTTCAGAATATTACAGAATCTCTCAGAATCTTTCAGAAAGCTCTCAGAATCTCTCAGAATCTCTCAGAAGCTCTGAGAATCTCTCAGAATCTCTCAGAATCTTTCAGCATCTTTCAGAATCTCTCAGAATCTTTCAGAATATTTCAGAATCTCTCAGAATCTCTCAGAATCTTTCAGAATCTCTCAGAATCTTGCAGAGGCCCTCAGAATCTTGCAGAGGCTGTCAGAGCCCTTCAGAACCTTGCAGAGGCTGTCAGAGGCCTTCAGAACCTTGCAGAGGCTGTCAGAGGCCTTCAGAACCTTGCAGAGACTGTCAGAGGCCTTCAGAGGCTCCAAAGTGGTTGGGATATCACGCGCCCCACGTGTCCTTGACGGTTGGGATCTGAACCGTCCGGTTTGGATCTCACGCGACCGGTTGGGATCTGGACCGGGGGCGGGGCCAGGCGACGCGCCCGTCTGGGGGCGGACGGGCAGGAGGGGGGCAGGGGGGGGCGAGGTAGGAAAGGAGGGCGGGAGATCCTGGTGGCCTCTTGGGCCTTCTTGGAACGTTGGAACCCAGAAAAAGCGAGAACGCTAAAATCCTTCAGAAACAATTAGAACAACTGTGGCGTGGGCCTCTTGAGGCCCCTGATGGGTCCTCTTGGAGCCCCCCGGTGGCGTCTTGGCCGTCTTGAAGCCATCGTGAGCGTCTTGGAGCGCTCTGGGGCCGTCTCGGAGCCCTCTTGGAGCAGCGCAGTCGCACTCGAAGCTCACGCGAAGTCTTTGGATACCTCAGGCTGGAACCCTCCTGAAGGCCCCCCGAACCCCAAGCCGAACCCCGCAAGAGGAAGCAGTTGTACAGAAGTGGATACATGGTGATCCCCCCCGCGAGGAAGCTAAAAATCGCCCTCTCTTGGGGACTTCTTGAGTCTCTCTTGGGCCTTTCACTGGGGTTTCCTCAGAGGGCCCAGAATTTAACACAAACTCGACACAATACGCTCTCCAAGAAGGAGGCGATTTGTCTTACATGTGCGTTGAAGTATTGGCCTTCCTGGAGGCCTCTTAGGGCCTTCAGAGGGCTCCAAGAGGGCGAGGGTTCCAAAAGGGCCCCAAGATGGCTCCAAGAGGACAAAATGTTGCAACACTAATGTAACACAAGACGCTCTCCAATAAGGAGGCGGTTTGTGTTAAATGTGTGTTGAATTCTTGGCCCTCCCAGAAGCTTTTCAAGGGCCGTGAGAGGGCTCCCGCAGGGCCCCAAGAGGCCCAGGAGGCCTCCGCGATGGCCCCAAGATGGCTCCAAGACGGCCCGAATTTTTTGCACAGCACCAGCACCAGCACCAGCACCACGGGCAGCACAGGCAGCACCAGCAGCATCGACGCCAGCAACAACAGCAACATCAGTAGCAACAGCAACGAGAGAGGCAGCAACGGAAAGTTGATTCCAAGATGGACCCAACAGGGTCTTGAAAGGATTATGAGATTACCCTGGTCGCTCCAAGATGCCCACCCCTGCTAAGCAATGGCCCCAATATGATCCGAGAGCGACCCTGCGGCCCCAAGAGAACACCGAGACGAACCCACTGTCTTCCGACTGAACTAAGGCTACAGCGTGACCCCGATGTTAGGTGGCCCCGGGACGACCCCATGAGCCCAAGACGATTTCGAGGTTGCCCAAAGATGGCCTTTCGAACCCTAGTTGACGACCCCAAGATTGTACCAAGATGGCTCCAGTGTGACTCCGATGCGTTTCTTTCTTCTGCCCTGGCTATTGGCTTGGGCCGATAGGACGGATGGGGGTGCTGGCTCTCCGCCCCTTCGTCGTTTTGTTCCTCCTCCCCCTCGTCCTCGTCGCCCTCGTCGTCGTCGTCGTCGCTGTCCGCCTGGTTCCGTTGGCCCCACACATAGCAGGAAACCGAATCCCGAACTCAAACCGAATCCATCCATTCTCTGATCCCCCTCCGGCGACCATTGTATTGCGAAGGCCTTACGGCCAGAGCCGTCGACCCTGAGGGGGACGACGACGATGGCGGCGGTGGCGGCGGCGACGACGACGACGCTGACGTGGGCTCAAGCTCTCAGGGATGCTTCTGGGGGTTTCTTGGGAAGGCTCTCGGGGGGGGCTGGTGGGAGTACGGCCTTAATTTCCGGATCGGAGCATACCAGACCTCGCTTGCTAAGATAAGCATTCTACCCACCTCGTCCACGCACATGGCCCACACGCAGGAAACGTTCAAACGCGGTCGTCGGTTGATAGCGATACCTCCAGCCGCCTAGCCCGGTTGCCCCGCAAGTGGGCCTGCGAACTTCGGTGAAGGATTGCACACAGAAGTGGATACCCGCTCCACGGGTCAGCCCAAGTCACGTGCAATGCTGCGATCAGCGCGTGCTCAAAAGGTGAGCAATCTCAGCGCGCGTTGTCGTTGTTCCAGAGCGCTGTTGACGCCATGCTGGAGCCGGCAAGAAGCGTATATGATACCGCAATCAGCTCGATGATGCAGGGGATTGCGATTGGGTCATCTAGTTCAGGGCTAGGCGGCCAGACACGAGGTGAGCTGGGCGAGGCGTCTGGCGAGCTGGAGGTCGCGTTTGCTCAGCCTTGCGAGACGCCCGTGAAGGACGTCCCAGACCGCATTGAACTATCCGATCAGGAGAACGACCTGGTGTCCAAGAGCCACTCGTCGATCAAGTTTGCGATCCCCATCGGCGCCATCGGTCGTATTCTGGAGCGTCCCTGGAGCGAACTTGCGGCCAGTGGAGCAACTTTTGCAGTCGACCAGACTGAAGTGGAGGGCATGGTCACATTGAACGGCTCTCTGGATGCAGTGCACAGAGCACATCGCTTAATCATTGAGCGGATCTCAGCTGATCACTGAGGGGATCGTCATTCTATGAGTGAGTTTGATGTTGGACAGCTAGCTCGCCAAGGCCCATCTTCAGTATGAACGACTCCCCTGCATGACAGCAGCATTGGCAACATGTGATAAGAGATACTGGACAGCGAGGAATCGTGACGGAGAGTGTGTAAGCTGGAACCGGTTGCCATGTCAGGCAGATGGAGGACATGGGCGCCCTTGCAAGGCGTATTCGCCGCACCGGGGTGTGTAGATCAGTTCTGTCGTAGAGTGCATTATTGGGAGAATCCGGCGGACATGGTGTGTCGCATGAGCATTTGCACGTGTCGCTGCTTGGGCCGCCGCTGTGATCACATGCGTCCCGCGCAACCCAGTACGGCGTTTCGTGGCCGCATAGGGAGCCCCACCGAAGGCCCCAGTGGCTCTGATCACAAGCGGCCTGCGCCACCCAGCAACGGTACTTCGTGGCCCCATAGGTAGCCCCACCGAAGGCCCCAGTGGTTGTAATCACATACGTCCCGCGCCCAGCACGGCGTTTCGTAGCCCCACCGAACGCCCCAGTGGCTCTGATCACATGCGCCCCGCGCCACCCAGAACGGCGCTTCGTGGCCCCATAGGGAGCTCCACCGAAGGCCCCAGTGGCTGAGATCACATACGTCCCGCGCCGAGCACGGCGCTTCGTGGCCCCATAGGGAGCTCCACCGAAGGCCCCAGTGGCTGAGATCACATGTGCCCCGCGCCACCCAGTACGGCGCTTCGTGGCCCCATAGGGAGCTCCACCGAAGGCCCCAGTGGCTGTGATCATATGCGTCCCGCGCCACCCAGTACGGCGCTTCGTGGCCCCATAGGTAGCCCCACCGAAGAGGATACGCACCACTGCGGTATTCACAACTGCATATGGTTGGGCCCTTCGTCAGTATAATTGTTTTTATCACCCAGAGCCCCTCCCCTCCGAAACCGGCTCGCCCCGCATACCTAGCCCCCAGGGACCCAATGGACGCCTTTTCAGAGGGTCCCCTGGGACCTGCGGGCTCCTGGACGTACCAGCCGGCCTAGCCAGGAGAGCTCCAAGCGACCCCAGACACACACTAGACCCCGAAGATGGCCCTAAGAGCACTCGCAAGAGGACGTCCAAGCAGAGCAAACATTGTTTCCCCGATAGTTGCTGCATGATTGTTGGATACTCAGTTCTTCAGTCTTCCGGGCATTCAAGACCGCCCAAGAGGCCCCGAACATCGTCCCAAAATAGTCCATCAAGGTTTGTGTACAATCCAAGAGAGCCCCAAGATGACCCAACAGAGCCCCAAGATGACACGACGAGAGCCCCATGACGGCCTAAGATGTCCCCAAGACGCCCTCTGCATCATTCACTCCAAATTGTGACCTGGTCGCTGAGGGAAACCGTGGTTCACAGCAAGGTGGCTCGAGAAAGCCCCCAGAGGCTCCCAAAAGGCGCTCAGGAGGCTTTCAGACTCCCCCAAGACGCCCTTTTCAAGACCTTTCGTGAGGCCCCCAAAATGCTTTACAAGGATGGGCCTCCACAAAAAAGCTGAGGAGGACGAGGAATGGTTCGCAAGGTAAGGCGGGAACGAAGAAGAAGAAGCATGAGGAAAGGAAAAGTAAGCATAGTATTGGAGAGGCCTGACGGCCGGTGCCGCCGACCCTGATCGAAAGGGCTAGGAGTGGGGGGAGGAAGCGGAGGAGGATGAGGAGGAGGAGGAGGAGCAGGAGGAGGAGGAGGAGGAGGAGGAGGAGGAGGAGGAGGAGGAGGAAGAGGAGGAGGAGGAGGAAGTGCATCCTTTGTGTGCCCGCTCGAAGAAAGTGCGCCCCGGGAGTGTGATATTCGGACTTGGGACGTGCTCCCGGAAGAGGAAGAAGTGCATCTCGGGAGTGCCCGCTCGGGGAAAATGCGCCCCAGGGGGGTGGTATTTTGACTCGGGGCCCGCTCCCGGGACGCCTCTGCGGGAGGAGGAGGAGGAGGAGGAGGAGGAGGAGGAGGAGGAGAAGAGCAGGAGGAGGAGGAGGAAAAGGAGGAGGAGGAGGACCAGGAGGAGGAGGAGGAAGTGCATCCCGTGCGTGCCCGCTCGAGGAAAGTGCGCCCCGGCGGGCGTCGTATCTGCCCCGGGCCCCCCCCCCCCCCCCTCTGCGGGGAAGGGATCAAAGGGAAGGGGCTTCCCTTCGACTCCCCTACGACGTCGTTAAATTTCGCTTTGGATAGCGCGCTTGAGGAGGAGAGCCCTGGGAGGGGGAGAACGGAGACGACGGAGACGACGAGTCGAACGAATAAGCCCCTCACGCACGCCGACAGGGTCGGCGGATTAAGTCGGGCCTGTCCCTCTACAGGAGGAATGTTCGAAAGTAGTTTCAAATAGTCTGGGGACGATGTTTTGACTATGTTTGACCAGTTTGGAGTAGTTCTGAGAGTATGTTTCATTTTTCGTCCAACATCCCCCTGTAGGGGGACATGCCCGACTTAAGCACAGTAGAACGGCGACGACGAAAACGGCAACAAGGAGTCATCGGTGTTCTACGTATTCACCTTTCGCGTTCTGCCCAAAGTCCGAAATTGAAGGACCAAGGAGCATGGCGCGAAGCGTCAACGCAGTCTTGTCCAGCCTGCGGGCGGAATGAGGGAGAGGAAATTAGTTATAGCAGCGATAGGTCATTGTTGCCGTTTCTGTCGCTGGCATTATAATACGGTTGGGATGTTCATTAAGGAATGTGCCCAGCAGGATTCAGACCCTGGAGAGTTGCTTATCTAGTAAGGAAGGTGGCGGTGATATCTAGGACCGATTCACGATTGGAGTTTCACCAGGATCCAAGCCGAGGATTGCTCATTCAATGGTTCCTTACCCAATGCCCTCACCTTAGGGGTGTCCTGTTCGTTCCTTCATGTTTCCTCTTCGTCGCTCTCGCCTGACCCTGCGAACCCTTCCCCTTCCTCGCCATTTGTCCCAACCATCCTGTGGTGTTGGTCCCCGTCTTGAACAGAACGCCCCGCGTCTCCTTCCCTTTCCGCCGCCCTCCTCCCCTCTCGCATCCGTGCCTCTGCCCTCCGCACCCGGCATAGCGCTTCGTGGTCCCATAGGGAGCTCCACCGACGGCCCCAGTGGTTGTGATCACATGCGTCCGCGAACGAGAATACAGCGCTTCGTGGCACCATAGGGGGCTCCACCGACGGCCCCACTGGCTGTGATCACATGCGCCTGCGCCAGTGAATACAGCACTTCGTGGCCTCAGAAGGAGCTCCACCAGAGGCCCCACTGGCAGTGATCACATGCGCCCGCCCCCGAGAATACAGCGCTTCGTGGCCCGATATGGGAGCTCCACCGAAGGCCTCAGTGGATGTGATCACTGTGATCACATGCGCCCGCGCCCCAGAATCCAGCGCTTCGCGGCCCCATAAGGAGTTCCGCCGAAGGCCCCAGTGGCTGTGATCACATGCGCCCGCGCCCGAGAATACACTGCTCATGGCTCCATGAGGAAGCCCCACCGAAGGCCCCGTTGGTTGTGATCACATGCGTCCGCGTCACACAGTACAGCGCTTCGTGGCACCATACGGAAGCCCCACCGATGGCCCCAGTTGCTGTGGTCGCGTGCGGCCGCGTCACTTAGTACAGCGTTCCGTGGCCCCATAGGGAGTTCCACCGAAGGCCCCAAGCCAGTACCGCACTTCGTGGCCCCATAGGGAGCTTCACCGAAGGCCCCAGTGGCTGTGGTCACATGCGTCCGCGCCGCCCAGTACAGCGTTTCGTGGCCCATGGGCGCGTTCCACCGAAAGCCGCAGTGGCTGTGATCACATGCGTCCGCGCCACATAGTACAGCGCATCGCGGCCTCATTGGCAGCTGCACCGAAGGCCCCACTGGCTGTGATCACATGCGCCCGCGCCCGAGCATAAAGCGATTCGCTGTCCCTTAGGGAGCCCCACCGAAGGCACCACTGGCTGTGGTCACATGCGCCCACGCCCGAGAATATACCGCTTCGTGGCCCCATATGAGAGCTCCACCGAAGGCCCCAGTGGCTGTGATCACATGCGTCCCCGAAGCCAAGTACAGCGTTTCGTGGCCCTTTGGGGAGCTCAACCGAAGGCCCCAGTGGCTGTGATTACATGCGTCCGCGCCACCCAGTACAGCACTTCGTGGCCGTGTTGGGAACTCCACCGAAGGCACCACTGGCTGTGATCCCATGCGTCCGCGTCACAGAGTACAGCACTTCGCGGCCCCATATGGGAACTCCACCGAAGGCCCCAGCGGCTGTGATCACATGCGTCCGCGCCCGAGAATACACCGCTTCGTGGTCCCATATGGGAACTCCACCGAAGGCCCCAGCGGCTGTGATCACAGGCGTCCGCGCCACCCACTACAGCGTTCCGCGGCCCCACGAGTAGCCCCACCGATGGCCCCAGTGGCTGTGGTCGCGAGCGTACGCGCCACCCAGTACAGCGCTTCGTGGCCCTAAAGGGAGCTGCACCGAAGGCACCACTGGTTGTAATCACATGCGTCCGCGTCACCCAGTACAACGCGTCGTGGCCCCATAGGGAGCTCAACCGACATGCCCCAGTGACTGTGATCACATGCGCCCGCGTCCCACAATACAGCGCTTTGTGGCACCACAGGGAGCTCCACCGAAGGCCGCAGTGGCTGTGATCACAGGCGTCCGCGCCACCCAGTACAGCGTTTCGTGGCCGTGTTGGGAACTCCACCGAAGGCACCTCTGGCTGTGATCACATGCGTCCGCGCCCGAGAAGACACCGCTTCGTAGCCCCATATGGGAACTCCACCGAAGGCCCCAGCGGCTGTAATCACACGCGTCCCCGCCACTACAGCGTTCCGCGGCCCCACGAGTAGCCCCACCGATAGCCCCAGTGGCTGTGGTCGCGTGCGTACGCGCCACCCAGTATAGCGTTTCGTGGCCCTATAGGGAGCTCCACCGAAGGCACCACTGGTTGTGATCATATGCGTCCGCGTCACACAGTACAACGCTTCGTGGCCCCATAGGGAGCTCAACCGACATGCCCCAGTAGCTGTGATCACATGCGCCCGCGTCCCACAATACAGCGCTCTGTGGCACCACAGGGAGCTCCACCGAAGGCCGCAGTGGCTGTGATCACAGGCGTCCGCGCCACCCAGTACAGCGTTTCGTGGCCGCGTTGGGAACTCCACCGAAGGCACCTCTGGCTGTGATCACATGCGTCCGCGTCACACAGTACAGCACTTCGTGGCCCCATAGGGAGCTCAACCGACATGCCCCAGTGGCTGTGATCACATGCGCCCGCGTCACACAATACAGCGCTTTGTGGCACCACAGGGAGCTCCACCGAAGGCCGCAGTGGCTGTGATCACATGCGTCCGCGTCACCCAGTACAGCGTTTCGTGGCCTGCCTCTGGGGAACTCCACCGAAGGCCTTGGCGGCGGTGTCCACACGCGTCCCCCTGCCCATGTTGGCATGCCTCTTCACGTCTCGTGGCCCATAGGGAGCCCCCCCTTCTTCGTCTCACCTGCCTTGCGGTATTCACAATTGCATATGGTTGGGTCCTTCGCCTGGGTATTTTTGTTGCGGAGGCTCCTCCTTGGAGCTTGAGGCCATTTTGGGCCGTCAGGGCGCTCTCTTCGACCCATCTTGGAGCCTTGTTGGGCCGACATGGGGCTCTCTTGGACTGTTTGCAGGCTGCTTTATATCGTTTTGGGGCGACCTTTCGGTTCCACTTGACCGGTCTCAGTCGCCCGGAGGACCGAGGATCCACGTATCCAAAAACCAGTTTACCTTCGGAGGGCTTGTTGGGGCTGGTCTGAGGGCCGTCTTCGGGCGTCTGGTGGGTGTCTGGGACTGTTTGGGGCTCTCGCGGGGCCGCTTGGGTGTCTGGGACCGCTCTGTGGGTCAGCAGGGGGGCCCTGGAAGCCTAGAAGGCCGAGCGAGCGCCCTGCATGGGACGAGGAGGAGGAGGAGGAGGAGGAGGAGGAGGAGGAGGAGGCAGGCGGCCAGGGGAGGCCGACATTCGTGAGGGGCGGGCGGGTCCGGGGTCAGTCTGGGGCCCCCTGCCGTACAGAGTGTTCCCCGAGAAGCGCTTGCGCTCAAGGTTTCCCATTTCCTTTCTGAGGAACTGGGCCTGCCCGTCCGTAAGGCTGCTCATTATGTGGACGCCGTCGCCGCCCCATCGCCGCCTCGTCGCCGCCCGTCTTCTCGGCCTGCCAGTCGGTCCCGCGGCTATGTGGTCGCCGTCGCCGCCCCGTCGGTCTAGGCCTGCCCGTCGGTCTGTCGGCTACGTGGTCGTCGTCGCCGTCTGGGTCTGCGTTACTTGCATCGCGTTTCCTTAATTTGCATTGTTTTCCACTGAGTTGTATTGCGTTGCTTGAGTTGTTTTGCATTGCTTTGGATTGATGTGCTTGCCTTGCTTTGCCGTGCGTTGCATTGAGTTGCATTGATGTGATGTGTGTTTGTTTGCATTGATTGGCGTTGCTTTGCATTGCTTCGCATTGCTTCGACATTGGTTCGCATTGCGTTGCATTGCTGTGCAGTGGTTCTCATTGGTTTGCCTTAATTTGCATTGCGTTGCTTTGCCTTTGCGTTGCTTTGCATTGCTTCGCATTGATTGTTTGGCATTGCGTTGCACTGTGCTTCATCGGTTTGCACTGCGTATGCATTGGTTTGGCCTACGCTGCTTTGTAGCACTGTGCGTTGCTTTGCGTTGCTGTGCATTGCTTTGCATTGCGTTGCATTGCTGCGAATTTTGCTTTGCGTTGCTGTGCACCGCCGAGATTGCACCACATGGATTGTACCACCCAGAAAGCACCGCATTTTGCCTCGGGCCCTGCTCGGCTGCGGAGCAGGTCAGGTCGACCAAGCTGCTCACAACTTGCGGTCAGCATCTGTGGGATGGCGCGAGGAGGGATGGTGAGTGAGGAGGGGGAAACAATCATGGGAATGAGGAGATACGAGCAACACGTGCTCTACATCCACAAAGAGAACACATAACAGGGGAGTTGGCCACAAATCCAGCCCCCCCTCTCACACAAGCACGATGTGTTTGTTTGCAGCCTCCGAAATCCAACAAAACTTGCACGGGCATTCGCATTGATGTAGCTTTGCAGGGCGCGGGCGGGCAAAGTTTACCACGATACACCTCCGACGTCACCCCCGCCATGTTCAAGAAGTCCACCAGGCATTGCATACCCAACATGTCTCCATTATGGCCATTCTCCTTCACCCAGCCTTTCACGTGGTCTCCCACCTCGCGCTTCTCGCCGCCCTTCATAGTGTCGGTGTTGCCCTCGTCGCCTTCATTCTCATCGTCTCGGTCGTCCCGTCTCCGTCTCCTCCGCTAGCCTGGCACATGCAGAAGGTAGAGATCCCAGCGGCAAAGTCCCGATAGACTGCGAGTATTGCCAAGAAACAGATGTAACCAGGACTTGTGCCAAGGGCAGAAAACAGAAAAACAAAAAGGCGCAGGAAATTATGTCGAGCGGAGAGCGGGGAGCTCTGTTGACAGGTCGGGGGCCCGTGCAGCTGCAGCTGCTGCTTCTCTGCTGCACTCCAAGTCGCAGCCCAGTGTCGTCAATCATATCTTCTCCGGCGGTCATACCACATGCTGCTGCGATGGAAGCTGGTACACTGGTTGCCCTTTACGTGCTTCACATAATTCATTGGAGGTTGGGCGGGTGAGATCGCAGTGAAGCGGAGAGACCCCCACCGGCAAGTCGGTGTCGGGTTCTTGCTCGTGTCGCGCGTGCGGGCAAGGCGAAGCTGCGTGGATGGGCGAGGGGAATAAGCCCGCCGTGGCTGGGGCGAAACCAGGCTCAGTGAGTCCCCTCCCCCGGTAGGTCGGCGGTGGCTCTGGGATGCCCCGTTCATGTCCCTTGGTGTCCCGTGAGGTCGACAGTGAGATCGAGGGAGTGAGATCGACAGCGAGATCGGCAAAGAGACCGATAGTGAGATCGATAGTGAGATCGAACGATACAGCGATAGTGAGATGGATAGTGAGATCGATCGTAAGGTCGATTGTGAGATCGACGTATACTGAGAAAGATAGGTAGAGGGAGATTAATATTGAGATCGATACTGAGACCGATAGTGAGGTCTATAGTGATGTCGATCGTGAGATCGATAGGTAGATACCGAATGAAACCGATTATGAGATCGGTAGATCAATCGAAAGTGAGGTCGATCATGATGTCAATATTGGGAGCGATCGTCGATCGCAGATGCAGAGTAAGATCCATAGTGAGGTCGAAAGACCCATATCAGCTTCTATCATTCGGTATCACTATCACAGCCGCTGCAGTTGTCCTCAGCTGCCCCCTACACCCCCCGACCACAACCTCCGTATCACCCGAAGGGTGGTCGTACAGGTAGGCTTGCCCTACCACGCCTCCTTTATGTTATCCCACCTGATCCCTCTCCCTACATGTACGCATCTCCCTGTCGTCGTCCTCGTCCTCATCTTCCACCTCCATCCTCCTCCTCGTCGTAATATCCTCCGTCCTGCTCTTCTCCTTTATCATCAGGGAGATGTGGGCGCCCGAGCGGCTTTACTTTACCACAAGGCTCGCGCCCGTTCCGGTGTCGCCGCAGAAGTGAGAAGGGAAACTTAGCAAGAGGAGTTAGAAGGGGCACCCGATAGGCGGAGCTAGCAAGGGGAGCTAGTACGCGGGAACCGAGACTTGTGAGGGAGAGGTGGGAAGGCCCCCACCGAATGTAACAGCACAGTCGCACAGCAGCGCTCGCACGCGCGTTTGCGAAATTATCCCCCCCTCTCTCGCATCCGCTGTCGCAGAGCTCTACATATTATATGTTCTCTTTCTTCGCGCCATATTATTCTTCCTCACTTCCTGCTATGTCTCGTCTTTCTTCTCCCCCTCTCATTTTTGCCTGCGGTTCCACGGCCTCGCACCCTTGCCCCAGCTTATATGTACTGAATCATTGTGGTTCAGGTGTGGCCACCGCACAAGCATGGAGTCGCTAGGGGGAGGGGGGTCAGAGGACATCGGTTTGCAGTGCTGTGCTGACTAACCCGCCCGTTTTGACCGAGATCGGCGATTCGCAGGGCAATGGCAGTGTGCAGAACGAATTGTGGGCCAGAGCATTGGGATTACATCGCCTCGCTGGTGTACATTACGATTGGCTTATGGCTTTTCCTGGGCGCGATTGGTATCTTTTGGCTCTTCCTTGCCAATACGTCCAGTCTGGACAGGTTCCGTGAGAAGGTTGGTTTGACGCATGCGAGGATGTCTGCGAACAGTCTGTTTTGTTTGGTCGACCTCGCGTTGAGCATGGCTATATGCGTGCTATATGTACGGAGAACATACACTCATTCATATGGCACCTTTGATCTAGTTGTCGAGACTTTGGCATGCGCGATGTACCTATCCGACCTAATCCCTGACTTTATCGTCAAGAACCTCACGAGCGCATCGTCAGGGGTGAAAATGTTGTGTACGCGAGCGGTACCTGATTGCATTATTGTGGCTTCAATGCTCTCCACTGCTCTGATTGAGGTGGACGGGCGCACTACTTGGGCATCTTGGTCATTTTTTGCATCATGGCGGGCGACGCACGCTTGGAAACGCCTCCTGCACGTGTACAACGTGAATATCCAGATGAAGGAATGGCAGGTCGCCGATAGCGTTGTGAGTGCCATAAGTATGGTTTTCGCAGCTGCAATGTTGATGATGTCTCTCGAGAACCTGGGGGATCCTAGCATGATGAAGGATCACGGGCGCAGGGATTGGAACATTGTGTCGGCGATGTATTTTGTTGTCACCACGATATCCACTGTTGGATATGGCGACATGGCTCCGAGAACGGGCATAGGTCGAATAGTGGCGATCGTAGCAATATTCGGCGGCATCGCGATGGTGTTGCTGGTGACCTCCAAGATGGTTCAGGTATTTTCCCAGTCAAGCCACGGCTTGGGAAGTTGGCAGCCAATGCTCAGAAGTAAGCACATCATAGTCACGGGGAACCCGACAACGCAGATGGTCAAAGAATTTATGTCTGAGCTCTTCCATCCAGATCACGATGACGACTCTGAGGACCTCCACCTCGTGTTCCTGCTCCCGAAGGGCAGCGCTACCTTGTCAGAGTTAATCCGTTTTCTCGAGCTGAAGCGCAACATCGGTCTCGCCGCCAGTGTGCACCCTCTCGGAGGTAGCGTTCTGAACAGAGCGGACCTCCTGCGAGCAAGTGCCGCGTATTCATCGTGCTTCTTCGTTTTGCCCAATACACGGAACGAAGATCCCAGAAGGGAAGACACCGAGTCTATTATCCGCGCCATGGCTATCCAGAAGAGCGTGGCCAACACGCGTATCATCCTTGTGCTGATGAAGGCCGAACACAGGCAGATGGTGCTCGATGCTGGCATGGCCGTCAGTCAGGATCCCAGCTCACCGTTTGCAGGTTTGACCATCCTCGCAGTCGACGAGTTCAAGATGGAGGTGATTGGAAAGACGTGCGCCATTCCAGGCTTTTCCACTTTCATGAGCAATCTCTGCACCTCAGTGACGGTGTCAGACGAGGACAAAGAGTTGGGTCGCGGAGCGAGGCCAAAATGGCAGCAGGAGTACGAGTCTGGTCTCGGCATGGAGCTGTACGAGGTGGAGCTGAGTTTGCTCTACGCTTCGCGTCAGGCCGTGTTCATCGAAGTCGTAGTGGATGTCTTGGAGCAGACAGGCGGCACCGTATACTTGATAGGGCTGGTGGAGCAAACGCTAAACGGGAAGCGGGTGCTCATTAACCCTGGCCCAAATTACAAAATCCGGCCACCTTCAGAGCATGTGGAGACTTCGGGCATATTCATGGCACCTAATCGCGAGGCGGTGCTGCAGTGTGAGGGTGGCATGGTCTTCCTCGGGCGCCGTGAGCGTGCCCTGCGGGACCAGCGCGTAGCCAAGGCGGTGGCGAAGCAGCCCGGCTGGAGCCATTTGGCCGAGGACGAGGTCGGGGGCCTCGCCATTCCTGGCGTCCCTGCGGGGATGGCGGAGAAGGCACGGAAGGTCATCGAGATGGTCCACAAGCACCGGCGGGCCAAGGTGGCGAAGAGGCCTCCGATGAAGATGCTCGGCAGCGGAGGTCACGTCCTCGTCCTCTGCCTCGGGGGCAGCGTCGACAGCCAGGGGATGCAGGTCGGTCTGGGGCACTTGGTGAAGCCCCTGAGGCGGCACCTCGAGTTCCTGGGGGGCAACCTCAAGCCGATCGTCATCATGGCGGCTGCCACCCCCCTGGACTGGCCTGCAGTTGAGGACACGCCAGGGGTGTACTTTCTGCAGGGGGACCCGATGGTGCAGTTTGACCTGGAGCGCACCAGCTTCCGCGACGCCGCCGCCATCGTCGTCTGCCAGGCTTGGAAGCCCGAGGGCCCGCAAGTTGTGAGACCCACCAGTGACAGGACTTTGTTCCAGACCTGATTCGGTTCCGACCAGGCTTGCTCGTGCTGTTCTCTCCAAGTCCGACTGCAGATTCGAGGCAGGATCTCCCCTTTTGCCATACCCGACATGGTGGAGCTGCTCGATATAAGATGAGAAGAGCTCACGACCCGCCTCGCACATCCTGCATACCGCAGCCGCCGGGCCCGAAGCGTGCTGGTGTTCCCTGGGTATCCTCCTCCTTCCTCCTCCTCTTCCTCCTCCTCCTCCTCCTCCTCCTCCCTCCTCCTTCCTCCTCCCTCCTCCTCCTCCCTCCTCCTCCTCCCTCCTCCTCCTCCTCCCTCCCTGGGCAGCCCGCCTCGTGCCTTCGACGAGTGGGCGACCTGCACACCGCGGCCGGCCGGCCCAGAGGTGTGCCGGCGCTCCACGGGTGCCTCGCCTCGCGCTCTCCAGGCGAGGAACGGGAGAGAGCCGTCGGGGCTGGGGATGCACGCGTTCTGGCTTGGTCGGCTTAAGTCGGGCCTGTCCCTCTGCAGGAGGAATAATCCAAAATATCTATAAAAAGAGTATGGGTACTATTTTTCAGTATTTGTTTGACCATTGGGGGGCATCTTCTGAGTACTCTGAATTTTTCGCCCAGAATCCCCCTGTAGGGGGACAGGCCCGACCTCACGGTCGGCAGGTGGGCACCTCCGGTGCATCCACAGCCACCAAGGAGCCCTGGACCGTCGACTCCTCGGTCATCTCTTGCGTCCGGGCGGTGGAGTCGCAGCTGAACTTCGACAGGAGGGGCGTCGCCGTCACCCCAGAGGGCCCAGATCAGGGAGGCGCAGGATGAGGACACACCGTTCCAGAGCAACCCAACATGTGTTCAGAGCGTTCCAGGCGCTCTGCGACGGCCGCGGCGCCCGATACGTCCTCCGGAGAGCCGCCAGCTCTCAGAGATTCCCAGCTTACTGCATATTTCCCGCTACAGAACTGGTTTGGGAATTGTTTGCTGTAGCGTGGCGCGCTGTAGGCACTTACAAGAAGAATTGCGGCGGGCATCAATTTTTGTAGGCCCGCGCGCGGACGCCCTTGAGAGAAAATCTTGAGATAGAGAGGAATCCGAGTAAGATGTGCCAGTGTTAGTTACGGTTAACAGTGAAATTTGCACTAGAAGTGATTTCGAAAGGATTTGGCATAAGAGGTGACTAGAGAGGATTCCGAGTCACAGCGGAATTCAAATCAGAATTGCCAGATATTTGAATTGGAGGGGAAGTTGTAGATTGAAACCCAGAGTTGGGTAGAGTTGTAGAAATGATTGAAGCCAGCGTTAGCAAGGATTCCGAACCACAGAGAAATTCACATCAGAATTGCCATATATTGAGTTGGAAAAGAGGTTCCACATTGACATCTGGAATTAAAAGTGATTGCACACATCAGAGTCAAGAGCTCGGACTCAGAATCACAGCGAAGTTCTCATCAGAACGGCCAGAAAATTTGGGTGGAAAGGATCTACGTATTGCAATCCAGAGGTGAAAAGGATTCCGAATCACAGAGATATTCAAATCAGAGTTGAGACAGTTCAGTCGGAGAGGAGTTGACACGTTAAACTTCAGAGTTAGACAGGAATCTACACATTCAAACCAAGACTTACACAGGAACCAGTGAGAGTATGATCCGAATTACCGGAACATTGAATTGGAGAGGGATTTGCGCAGTGAGATCCAGAGAGACAGGAGGTCATACACAGAGAAACTCACATCAGAATTGCTTAAGAATTGAAGTGGAGAGGAATCTGCAGATTGAAATGTATAATCAGAAATGATTTTAAAGATTTGCAGACAAGAGTTAGGAATAATCTCGAATCCGAGTGAAATTAACCAGAACTGCCAGATAATTAATCTGGAGCTGAATCGAGCCATCAAAACACAAAGTTAGAAAGGGTTTCGAATCACATAGAAATTCGCACCCAGATTGGCAGGTAATTGAACTGGACAGGAGTTTGAATGTTGAAATGATAGAGGATGCCGATTCAAAGAGAAATTCGGATCGGAACTGCCAGGTGTTTTGATTTGGAGAGGCAATTGCATGTTGGAACCTCGATTTTCAATTGGAAAAATGAATTTGCGCATTGAGATTCAGAGTTCGGAAAGATTTCGAAACGCAGAGATATTCAAATCAGAATTATGACTCGACAGGAAAATTACCCTGGCGACGTACCCAACCCCTGCGCAATGCGGGGCATGAGTAGCTTGGGAGACGCTATACGGAGGTGATAACGTGACATGGGCGCATATACTTCTGCGAGCGGCATTCGTGATACTCGCAGCCCCCCAAGGATTGCGATGGCGATGTCTCGCTCAGATCTGCCTGGTGTCTCGCTCCGCTGAACCCGCCACCAGCCTTCGAAAGTTGCGACGGTTTCGCAAATCGCAGCCCCCCAAGGACGGCGAGGCCCCGCTCAGATCTGCGCGGTGCCTCATTCCGCAGGACCCACCAGCAGCCCTCGAAAGTGGCGACAATTTCGCAGATAGCAGCCCCCCAGGCACGGCACGGCGAAGTCGCGCTCAGATCTGCGCGGTGCCTCACTCCGCAGGACCCACCAGCAGCCCTCGAAAATGGCGACAGCTTCGCAGATCGCAGCCCCTCAGGGACGGCGAGGTCCCGCTCAGATCTGCGCGGAACCTCACTCCGCAGGACCCACCAGCAGCCCTCGAAAGTGGCGACAGTTTCGCAGATCGCAGCCCCCCAGGCACGGCGAGGTCCCGCTCAGATCTGCGCAGTGCCTCACTCCGCTGGATCCGCCAGCAGCCTTCGAAAGTGGCGACAGTTCCGCAGATCGCTATGCTGGCCCCTCAAGCAGCCCTGGAAAGTTGCGACGGTTTCGCAGATCGCAGCCCCCCAAGGACGGCGATGTCCCGCTCAGCTCTGCGCGGTGCCTCACTCCGCAGGACCCACCAGCAGCCTTCGAAAGTGGCGACAATTTCGCAGATCGCAGCCCCCCAGGCACGGCGAGGTCCCGCTCAGATCTGCGCGGTGCCTCATTCCGTTGGACCCACCAGTAGCCTTCGAAAGTGGCGACAGTTTCGCAGATCGCAGCCCCCCATGCACGGCGAGGTCCCGCTCAGATCTGCGCGGTGCCTCACTCCGCTGGACCCACCAGCAGCCTTCGAACGTGGCGACGGTTTCGCAGATCGCAGCCCCCCAGGCACGGCGAGGTCCCGCTCAGATCTGCGCGGTGCCCCACTCCGCAGGACCCACCAGCAGCTTTCGAAAGTGGCGACAGTTTCGCAGATCGCAGCCCCCCAGGCACGGCGAAGTCGCGCTCAGATCTGCGCTGTGCCTCACTCCGCTGGACCCACGAGTAGCCCTCGAAAGTGGCGACAGCTTCGCAGATCACAACCCCCCAGGGACGGCGAAGTCGCGCTCAGATCTGCGTTGTGCCTCACTCCGCAGGACCCACCAGCAGCCCTCGAAAGTGGCGACAGTTTCGCAGATCGCAGCCCCAGGGACGGCGAGGTCCCGCTCAGATCTGCGCGGTGCCTCACTCCGCAGGACCCACCAGCAGCCCTCGAAAGTGGCGACAGTTTTGCAGATCGCAGCCCCCCACGCACGGCGAGGTCCCGCTCAGATCTGCGCGGTGCCTCACTCCGCTGGACCCACCAGTAGCCCGCGAAAGTGGCGACAGTTTCGCAGATCGCAGCCCCCCATGGACGGCGAGGTCCCGCTCAGATCTGCGCGGTGCCTCATTCCGCAGGGCCCACCAGCAGCCCTCGAAAGTGGCGACAGTTTCGCAGATCGCAAACCACCAGGGACGGCGAAGTCGCGCTCAGATCTGCGCTGTGCCTCATTCCGCGCGGCCCACCAGCAGCCCTCGAAAGTGGCGACAGTTTCGCAGATCGCAGCCCCCCATGCACGGCGAGGTCCTGTTTGGATCCGCGGTGAGTGCCCTCTCTGCTGGCCTCCCCAGCAGCCCTCGAAAGTGGCGACAGTTTCACAGATCGCAGCCCCCCAGGGATGGCGAGGTCCTGTTTGGATCCGCGGTGAGTGCCCTCTCTGCTGGCCTCCCCAGCAGCCCTCGAAACTGGCGACAGTTTCACAGATCGCAGCCCCCCGGGGATGGCGAGGTCCTGTTTGGATCCGCGGTGAGTACCCTCTCTGCTGGCCTCCCCAGCAGCCCTCGAAATGGCGACAGTTTCGCAGATCGCAGCCCGCCAGGGATGGCGAGGTCCTGTTTGGATCCGCGGTGAGTGCCCTCTCTGCTGGCCTCCCCGGCAGCCCCTCGAAAGTGGCGACAGGTTCGCAGGTCGCAGCCCCCCAGAGATGGCGAGGTCCTGTTTGGATCCGCGGTGGGTACTCTCTCTGCTGGCCTCCCCAGCAGCCCTCGAAAGTGGCGACAGCTTCACAGATCGCAGCCCCCCAGGGATGGCGAGGTCCTGTTTGGATCCGCGGTGAGTACCCCCTCTGCTGGCCTCCCCAGCAGCCCTCGAAAGTGGCGACAGTTTCACAGGTCGCAGCCCCCCAGAGATGGCAGGTTACACTTTGGATCTGCTGGCCTCGCCAGCAGCCCTCGAAACTGGCGACAGTTTCACGAATCGCAGCCACCCAGGGAGGGAGAGGTCTCGCTCAAATCTGCGCGGTGCCTCAACCCACACGGCGAGAGGAGACAAGAGGGAGGCGGGAGGCGGGAGGTGCAAGACGCGACCACGGTGTTCTATTCAAAACGAATACCCAACCAAGGAGGGTTGGGAAAACATATTGTAATCCAGAGTAAGACATACATGTACACATCCACACCAGAGTTATAAACGATTCCGAATCGTAGAGCAATTTGAACCAGAACTACCAGATACGTGAATTGGAGAGGAATTTCCACATTGAAATCCAGAGTTAGAGCGGAGCTGACATACGAGAGCCCAGAGAAATTCAAATCAGAATTGCCCGATCATTGAAACTGATAGGAACTTCGACGTTGAAATCCAGAGTGCGAGAGCATTCTACACATGAGAACAGTTTTAAAGAGGATCTCTCATCTTCAGACTCAGAGTTAGACAGGAATCCGAGAAAAAACAAATCCGAATTGCTGGAGATTTGGTTTGGGAGCAATGTGCACATTGAAATCCCGAGTTAGAAAAGATCTTGGTTGCAAAATTCACAGTTCGGAAGGTTTTCGAATAGCAAAGAAATTCAAACCAAAATAGCCAGATGAGAAAGTTGGAGAAGAGTTCGCATATTGAAATCAGGAGTTACAAAGTCTTGCCGTCAAAACCCAAAAAAAACTCTAAATCAGAATGGCTAGAAAATTGAGCTGTATGGGAACTCACATATCGAAATCCACAGTGCGAACGGATTATATATACGATATACTAAAAATGATTCCGAGTCACAAAGATATTCGCATCATAATTGCTAGAAAGTCGAGTTGGAGTGGGAATCTACAGATTGAAATCCAGAGTTAGAACAGGTTTAAAACATTGGAAACCAGATTTCGAAAGGATTTCGAATCACAGGGCAAGCCAGATAGATCAGCACTTGCGCACTACAATACATAGTTAGACATGGTTTTACTTATCAAAACCGAGAGTCAGCGAGGATTCCAGATCGCAGAGAGATCAAAATTAGGAAGGCCAGATAATTGAGTTGAAGGGGAATTCACATATTGAAATCCAAAGTTCGGGAGGATTTCAAACATTCAATCCAGAGGCGAAAGGATTTCGAATCACAGGGGAGTGCATATCATAATTGCCGCCAGACAACTGGTCCGGAGAGGAATCTACATATTGAAGACCAGAGTTAGAAAGAATTCGGCCGATTAGAACGGAAAGGGTTCCGGAACACGGAACAACTAAATCAGAATAGTCAGAGACTTGAGTTGGAGAGAAATTTACATAATGTAATCAGAATGATGACAGGACGTTATTCATTTAAACCCAGAGATCGAAAGGATTCCAATCACAGAGAATTTCAAACCGCAATTACCAGATAATCGATTTCGAGAGGAAGCAATATGTTGAAATCCAGAGATCTGAAGGATTCTGCACATTAGAATCCTGAGCCAGAAAGGATTACGCATCACAGTGAAATTCAAACGAGAATTGCCAGATAATTGAGTTGGAGAGGACTTCAGATTCTTAATGTTAGCTTCGAAGTGTGAAATCTGGTTTTCTTTCTCAATTTCAATACGTGAACTACTCTCCAATTCAATGTTCTGGCAATTCTGGTTTGAATTTCTCTGTGATTCAGGAACCCTTGTTGTTAGCTTCGCATTGATATGTGTACATCATGTCTAACTCTGGGCTTCAGCATGTAAGCTCCTCTCCAACTCAACTATATGGAAATACTTTGTTGAATTGCTCGTGCTTCGGAATTGCTCGTCCTTCTAACTCTGGAATTCAAGTCTATCTAAATTCCTCTCCAACTGATTTGTCCGGCCATTCTGACTTGCATCTCTTTGTGATTCGGAATGTGGGTCAACTCTTCTGCGAAATCCTTTCCTGCAGAATTGGGAGGTTGATTCCTCTGAGACTCCGAGCCCATCCAACCGTGGTCGACCCCCATGCGCAGGCCAAGTCGCGACTGCAGCGTGCCCGCCAGGAATAGTGTTCACTGTAGCGGTTGCACTGCAAGTGCAGCATTAAAAGCTACAGTTAAGTCGGGCCAGTCCCTCTACAGGAGGAATACTCAAAGATAGTCAAACAATAGTCTGGGGACTATTTTTTGAATATTTTTGGGCATCATTTGCGCATTGTTGGACTACTTTGTATTTTTCGCCGACAATCCCACTGTAGGGGGACACGCCCGACTCAAGTGCAGCATTCAAAGCTACAGCATTGATGCAGCGAAAAAACGTCCCCTCGCCCAAACGCACCCTCAGCCTGCCCTCGTCCTTGAAGGGGCCCCAGGACACACCAGTAAATGCACACAAAAATAAAAGGATCCCCCATATTTTCAAATATTTTCTGGGTTTTCGTCTGCCCCCCCACTTCCCATATTTTCCCCTATGTTCCTGGGACTCGACGATTAATTGTGTCTGTTCATTTTTTCTCCTCCTGAGTCTTGCCAGCTCTTCTGTGCCCCCCTCCCCTCCCGCCGTCGCCGTCGCTGTCGGCCTCGGAGTTCGGGCCGAGCGCGGCCGTCCCCCCCCCCCAGGCGTACTTGCCCCCGGGGCGTTGGTCAAACCAGCGCCGTGAGGGAAGCGCGGTCAAAGGGGGGCACGTCGGGCGGCTCCCTCTCGCTCCCTCCGCCCCCCCCTGGTCGCACGGCGAGGGCCAGTGCCCGCGCCTGACTGCCAGGTCGAGTCTCGGCCCCCAGAGATCCGACGTCGTGATGTTTTCCATGCGGGGCCCCCGGAAGTCTCGGCCCCTTCCCCAGGACCGGCTTTTCATCCTGAGTCGTTTTTTGGACGGTCCCGGGGCCCGGCGAGGGCCGCTAGAGGCCGAAAATCGAGAAAAACCTCCATCTTTCGGGGGCGGTAAAAAGGGGGGTGATGACTAGGGGGGGGTGGATATCATGACGGGGGCCATGATGTTTCCCCAGATTTCATGGCGCCTCTTCTTGTTTCATTACGTCCCTGGCCCCCCCGCTGGGCCGCGCACATGCCTCCGGTCATGATTTGCACCCCCCCCTCTTGGACACCCCCCTTTTGGCCGCTCCCGAAAAGCCTCCGTCTTGATTTTTTCAATACGTCGGAGGCCTCGGCCTCGGGCGTCGCACCATGCGGGGGCGACGCAGCCTGCGGGCGTGAAGGAAGGGGCGCCGTCGGCGGACCTCACTGTGAAGGCCTGACGGCCGGTGCCGCCGACCCTGAAAGACATCGACGGCGACCAGGAGGAAAAGGAGGAGGAGGAGGAGGCGGAGATAAGGAGGAGGAGGAGGAGGAGGAGGAGGAGGCGGAGATAAGGAGGAGGAGGAGGAGGCGGAGATAAGGAGGAGGAGGAGGAGGAGGAAGAGGAGGAGGAGGAGAAGGACCCCCCTGGGACCCCCCCCCCCTGGGGAGGAGGACCGGATGAGGGCTGGCGTGGGATGGAATGGAATGGAATGGAATGGAATGGAATGCCCACTCGGGGAGAGTGCACAGCACTAAATGCTGAGCTCAGGCTCAAAGTACTGGCCTCCAGCTGAGGCCTCCTTATCACATATTCTCTCCATGAGAGCAGCCAACCGCAGCTCATATGGAGGGGCGGCCCCTGATGCCGAGGGAAATCTCACCACCGTAGAGTCAGGAACCGCAAGACTAAGATGGCGGGGACCTTCCGACGGCCTCTTAGGGACCAGCCGAGCAAGGGGAACAGTTCTGTCCAGGAATCCCTGGCACTTCCTATTCGGGATTTACCCTGGACAAAAACGGTGGATGACCTCTTGACCTTTCTTAGTGGGACGCATGCAGGGACCAGCCAACTGGAAAACACGGCCCTGGAACCACCCCCCACACTCAAACAAACATAGGTCTGCTTCTCCGGGACCGCACACACAACGTCAACCGAGGCAGGATTTCGAGCAAGTCCAGCCGCGACGATGAGGTGCCCCTGAGGGTCCTTGAGCAGCTTGCCTATGAGGGGTGGCACGCCAGCACATCCTGTCATATCAAGCTGAGAATGCGGATTACCACCGAGCGATAAGCATCTGGTGCAATGCCACCCCGCAGGCCCATCTATCCACGAATACCACCCCGTCCTGAGCCTGGAGGTGCCGCGCCTCGGGGCGCGGGGAGGGCGGGGCCACCTGAGGTCATTCTTATACAGCGGCAGCAGGGGGGGGAGGAGGACCCCCAGGGACGGATGCGTATCTGACTCCCCTCCCCCCCCCCCTGGGACTCCTCCCCACCTGAGGAGGAGGACCCGAGGAGGACCGGCGCGCCGGAGAAGGACCGGCGTGGGAGAGGAGGACCCCCAGAGGCGATGCGAATCTAGCCCCCCCCCCTCTCCCCCTCCTGGGACCCCCTCCCCCGCCGGGGAAGGGACAAAAAGAAGGGGCTTCCCTTCGACGTAATGAGGACGTGGATGGAATTCCCTCAAGCTGCGAACCCGTTCCCCGAACGAGGAGGGGTGCTCTCCTTCTCTCTCTCTCTCTTTCTCTCTCTCTCTCTCTCTCTCTCTCTCTCCCCCGACGGGAGGGGACGAACGAAGGCCCCCCGTCGACCGAACTGGACAGACACCCCACACACGCCGACAGGGCTGGCGGATTTGGAGGCCCTGAATGCCCCCTCTGGGGCCCCAAAAAGGGCACGAGAGGTGCACGCTTCTTCGCCCCCCCCTATTCTCAAGTCGGGCCTGTCTCTACACGGGGAAAATGAAAAAATATGTTACAAATATAGGCTGGGGACGATATTTTAAGCATTTGTTAACCATTTGGGCGTATTTCTGGGATATGTTTAACTGTTCGTCCAAAATCCGCCTGTAGGGGGACATGCCCACCCCGTGTCGCCAAGCCAGCGAGCAACGCCCAACGGCCAGGGCCTCGCAGAGCGGCGCCGACGCCCGCCTCGCTGGCCCGCAGGCCGCCGACGGGGGCGGGCGGGAGCTGCGGCACCCTTCGCCCGCTCGGCCCTCGCCCGCCGCGCGCCCGCCCTCGCACTCGTCGCCGTGCCGGTGCGACGTGGCCCCGCAGTCGTCCCGACGGTTTGATCGATCGATGCTCCCCGTCGTCATCCTCCTCTCCCCCCCAGTCATCTCCCTCCTCCTTTTCCTTCCCCCCTCCTCTCCTTCCCCCCCCATCGTTGATGCGTCTTGGGTTTACATGCGCTGCCTGGGCGCTTTTCCGGCCCTGGCCGCACGCGCCCATCTCTCCCAGAGCGCTCGCTGGTCACAGAGCCACGGTCTGCCGCCATTGGCCGCCCCAGTCACGCTGGGCAGTCGGTCTGAATGGGGGGGGCGTTCTGAGCAGGGAGAGTGCCGATACCGCTGCTCGTGCAGCAGAGCCCTCGTCGCCCCGGCCGGATTCGCTTCGAAGTCTTGGTCAGAGCACATCCCGGGAGAGGCCCGCGGATCGGCAGCATCGGCACCTTGTTGTAACCCCAGGCGCAGTCCAAGGAAACCGCAGGGCCTCCTATCCAGTGGGTCGGGGCTCGGGAAGCGGATCGCGAGGTCCTTCGCTCGGCCGCGGTGGGGCGGCAGGCCAGATTCTCTCGACCCGCGGGCAGCGGGGACGTGGATCGGGTTGCGTCTGGATCGGGGGGCAGGGTCCCTCTCAGGTCGTGGTCATCGCGGCACTTTACTGCGACACGAACCACTTCCTCGTGCCGCGAGCGCTGCAGGAGAAGAGCGCGCGGAAGAAGAAGCGGCAGGAAGGGATGAGCGTCTTCGCCGCCATGAAAGACTTCAGGGGTAGGCAGGTTGGTTTCAAGATGGGTCAAGATGGGTCAAAGAAGGAGGAGTCCGAGATTGCTGGGCCCGATGTGCCATACTACCGCACGGCAGCGCTGCATGTTGAAGACTCCCTTTCTCCACGCACGAATCTTGTTCTCCCCACTCACCCTTCCCCGCTCCCCTGCTATGGGGGAGAGGGGAGGTGCGGTTACAGGGACAAGGGAGATAGACGGGGCATGGAGAAGGAGGTGGGGGAGGAGGACAGAAGGATGGTCGTACAATAGTGAGGGTCCCTCGCCTAGGCACGGTACGCGCGTGGCCAATTGTTTGTTGACACCACGTTGACCTCGCTGGCGGTCAACACCTTCTATAATCCCTCTCTGTGCGAATTGGTCAGCGCCATGATATCGGCGCCCATGTCCCGGTGGCAAGTCTCTACAGAGTGGGTGACCAAGTCTTTCTTCGAGCTCTTCGATCACCTCCTGTGGGTGGAGAGCCAGGGGAAAGCGGAGCGGGGGAGGGTCCGCACCAATGTACATACGATGTCGCACGTTATTGTACGGACGGGCACCAATGTCCAATGACTTATGACCAATGTCCAATGACTTATGTACGGGGGCACCAATGCCCAATGACTTATGGGCGGGAGAGGTTCGTACTTACGATGTCGTTTGCGATTTATTTCGAGTGACCATGATGCGTGGAAGGGGGCCTTTTTCCTGTGGAGCGTCCGGCTGTTCGCGCGTTCGCCTGCATCCGCCCACACATCAGCTTCTTGCGGTGGCCGTCCCCTCTCCTCCGAGGTAGGCCCCCCGGGATCTCGACCGCCTCCCCTGGGCAGGCCTCTCCTCCCGAGCCTCTTTGTGTTGACGGCCCTGGGGCCGAGAGGCGGCAGCCAGAGGCCGAAGCCGTCCAGAGATTGGCTCCCGCACTCCTCCTGCTGCGCCCTCCGGGCCCGAGGCGGCCACCGACGCTGCGGAAGCGCCCATCGCCCCGAGAGGGCCCGCGCCGCTTCTCCAGTGCTCCGCCCCCCCCGAGGTGGAGCAGCTCCTGGCGGTGGCCCTCTTCCGCGAGCAGGGCGGCGTGCCCTACCTCTTCACCGCACCCCCGGGCAAGGAGACGACGATCCTGACGGGGGACCTCGTCGTCTGCTTCGGCTGCACGCCGCCCGCGGGCCCGGCGCCCGACGGGGCCCGGGAGCAGCCCAAGGCCGGCGGGCCCGCGGCCGCGGGCGGACCCGCGCCGGGCGGGCCCGCGCCGGGCGCCCAGCACGGCGGGCAGCCCGGGCACGGGGCGCTGGCGGGCCCGAAGCTCGAGCCGGGCGCGCCGCGCGCCAAGCGCCCGAGCCAGGTGTGATGGGCCTGCTTCCCACCACCACCACCACGAGTTGGAGGGGGAGGGGGTCCTCCTCCTCCTCCTCCTCCTCCTACCTCCTCCTCCTCCTCCTTCCCCCTCCAGCTTATGGTGGTGGTGGCGGGAAACAGGCCCAGCAAGGTGGGCCCCGGGGGCCAGCCGAGCCCGCAAGGGGGCGCCTTCAAGTAGAAGCCGTTGCGGCCTCGAGTATGCAGCCTCGGCCAGGCGAGCGGGGAGGAGGGCGTGAGTACCAGTGTGCGCTGAGCTGTGCAGCTGGTGCTGGTGCTGTCAGCCCCCCCCCTGCCAAGACATCCGACGAAACGACTTGTTCGACCCGCGGCCCCAAAGCTCCCAGACCCCTTCCCAGAACACAGAGATCTCGGTATACACCAGAAACGGCCCAGCACAATTTGCGTCGCACTGGGCTGGCTAAGTCGTGGGCGCCCTGGGACGGCCCAAGACAAAGCGAGACGGCCCCACGACGGCCCCAAGACGGCCCAAGGAGGCCCCAAGAGACCCCGAAGGCCAAGACGGGCCAAATATTGCCCAAGATCGTCTCAAGATGGCCCAAGGGAGCCCCGATGTCGCTTCATGCCCCAACAGGCGCTGAAGAGAGCCCCAAGAGGGGCTCAAGGTGGCTCCAAGACGCACACTTCCGGCGGGAGCCCCAAGACAGCCTAAGAACGTCATACCGGGCGCCCTAGAAGCCACGAAAGAAGCCCCAATAAATCTAAAAACTTGATGTCTGGGTCCCATAAAGAGTATTCAGATTACTCCACCATGCAGAGGGACCTCAGTACACTCCACTCAGTACCTGGCGGAAGTGTTGGACGCATGTTCATGTATACACATGTATGTGTACATGTATGAAACTATTCACACAAACACATACACATAATTCTGTACACGCGCACACATGGTACTTAACATGCACACTTAAGCCACGGAGCAACGCGCGCAACGTACGTATCATGTGCCTACGACCATGCATCAGAACTTATGGAACTTTAATGTCCCACGCGACAGACCTCGAAACCATTCGCAGCAGCTTCCTGGCGGGGATTGCCCGAAGCAACATATCGCCCCTCGAACTCCGAAGGGGACAAGCTATATTCTCATCCATGGGGGGTAAGGCGGCCAGTGGGACGCAGTCCACGCTAGTGGGGATAGGGATCGTTTAAACCATGTAGTTGAGAGTTTCTCCTCTTCCTCCGTTTACTCCTGTTGCTGCTACGGCCCTCGATGAATTCGACGCTCGGTTTCCTGCGTTACGTTTCACACCTGTTCTAGCCCCGCCTGTCCATTGCTGACCCTGTGTTGCGAAGCTGCTGCCGTGGGGAAAAGACTTCCGTCCAGGTTGCCATGCTCGTTGGGCACTGAACTCATCATGTGCGCAGGCGGCCCGCTCCCGATCATCCCAACCGATGGCTCTGGATGTTGGCGCGGGCTGGGAGGGGGGGGGGAAATTGCAAGTTCACCAGTTGTCCTCCCATCCGCCCAGCTGCGGTTGGGTCGAGCGTATAGGCAGACATCTCAGGAGTGGGTGCCAGCACCTCGCAACCATGAGCTTGACCGACGACGTGGAGTCCACGGCTGCAGTGCTCGTGTAGAGCGTGGCGTTTACCATCGTGTTGCTGCTCGGAAGCATACAGAGTAATAAACAGGGCAAGTGCTGGATCTGGGAGAAAACAGGCGATACTTTAGATGTGAACCCGTTAAAGCAACAGGAAGCGATGCAAGTCTAGATGCGAGAACACAGCTAACACTAGACTTGCGCTGTGTTGCCACAGCCGCCCACCCTTTGGCATGAGGCCCACTGTCTCGGGGCAGCATCGACGTTTCAAGCTACGGCCTTCACGAAAGAAGCGCTCCCATTGACGATGGTGGTATGCGTGCCACTTGCCCGTCAAACAGTCTTCGTTTTGATATAGTTGTTTTGTTTCGCCAGTGGCCATTATGAAACGTCCCCAACCACTTTATTATACCATCCAGAACTCAGACAAGATCCAGCGAGTTCGCAACCGAAAATCGGAATCGGCAAGCAACAACGGCGGGATCGGCAACCAGAAACGACGGCGTCAGCACCAAGCATCGACGGAATCACATAACCAGCGCCCTGCAACGACGGAGCCGACAGCCAGACAGATTCCAGCACCTGCCGAAGACGTGTGCCGTACCCGCCAGGGAGCGCCTCCGTCACGGACGACTTTGGCTCGGGGCAGGTGCGCTCTGCGAGGCCGTACCACGTGAACGGAAGGTTGAGCCATGACGTTCAGGGTCGGCCACACGGTCTTCTCCTCTCTCGCCTCCGCCGCGCTCTCGCCGGGCTGGGCGGGTGTCAGCGCATGCGGCGCCCAACCAGAAACGGGGCGAGGCCGTCGCTGAGACGTTCGGGCTGGAGCGAGGGGGGTGGGCGACTCGAGCCGCCCGCCGCCGCCGGTGCCAGCCCCCCAAGGCGGGCAGATAGCTCCTAGCGCTCATGCAGAGTGCCGTCGTTTTAAGTACTGCATTGCTTTTCCTCTCCTTCTTCCCCTCACGCCTTCTCCTTCCGCCTTCTCCTTGCCTCCTGCGTTCTCCTTTCTCCTGCCTCCTGCCTCCTGCCTCCCTCTTGAATGTCTCCTGCCTTTCTCCTCCTTCCTCCCGCTTCCCTGCCTGCCGTCTCCTGTTTCCTTCTGCCTCCTACCTCCTTCGCCTCCATGGTGCCGCCAGCAGTGCAAGTGCCCCACCTCAGCTCCTGGGAGGCTCCTGGAACGTCCAAAGGAGTGCAGCGCGGTCTCAAAAGCATCCAAACTACATTTAACCAGAGAAAAACCCAATCAGTGGATTGTTTTCGCTGGTGAGTTCGACCGGAAACCCGGGAGCCCGGGAACCCAGAACCCGCCGAAATCGACCCGGAACCAATAAAAACCGGAGCCGGGAACCCGGGAACCCAGCTTGCTACCAAAATCGGCGGGAAATCGTCGCCAAATCTTTCAACTTCCGCTAGGACCCCGTCAGTGCAATCCTCGCCCCCCTCCGCGCTGCCAGCTGCTCAACTGTCGCCGCGTTCGTGGAGCGTTGGGAAGTCCAGCGTGTCAAAAGTAGGCATCTCTCCTCCCTGGGGGGGGTGCCACCCGCGCGGCTGTCGCCACCTGTCGTGGGGCCACGGGAGGTCCAGCGGAGCGCAGTCTTAATGGCGTGCAGGCTAGATCTCGCCACTCTAGGGGCTACCACTCACGGAAATGTCGCCCCGTCAGTGAGATCCTGGGAGGTCCAGCTTAGATGCATCCAGAGTGGACCTCGCCCCCCTGGAGGTTGCCAGTTGCGTAACTGTCGCCACGTTCGTGAGCTCCTGGGAGGTCCAACATAAAAGGCATCACACGCTGACGTCGCCCCCCTGGGGTGTACCAGCTGCGCAACTGTCGCAACTGTCTTGAGCTCATGGGAGGTCCAGCGGAGCGCGGCCTTGAAGGCGTCCGAACCAGACCTCGCCCTCGCTGGGGATTGCCAGCTGGGCAGATGTCGCCACCTTCGTGAGCTCTTGGGAGGTCCAGCGGAGGCCGGCCTTCAAGGCGTCCAAGCAGCCAAATGCCGAGTCGTCGTCATTTTCGTCGCGGACTCCTCGGATGTCCAGCGGAGGGCGGCCGTCCAGGCGTCCAAACCAGATTTTTCGCCGCTTGAGGGCTGCCAGCTGCGTAGTTGTCGCCGCTTTCGTGAGCTCCTGGGAGGCCAAATGAAGCACGGTCTTGAGAGATTGGGACCCCAATTGGACCTCGCCCTCCCTGGTTATGGCCAACCTTGCCTTCTGGTGTTCTCTCAGGTCGGTCCCGTGAGGCGTGCAGCGCGTAACCCCTTTTCTGTACATTGCGCGGGGTATCTCTCGTCCCCTGTCGTGTCATCACCTGTCTGGGATACAACCAGTCTTTCTGGCAACTGATTCGGACGGATGCTTCCCTGAGCCCCGCAGCGGGGAAGAGTCGTAATCAGGTAAGCGCAACCCTTGCGGCGCAACGGCACGAACCAGCCGCATCATTGAAATGTTGGTTGAGGTGTGGGACCGTATTTCTTCTTTAGTCCAGGGCAGAAAGGGTTCGAACATGCAGCACTGGGATCTTCGGCGTGTGAGAGAGTTGCCCTTCCCCGAACCTTTCCCACGAGAGCCTGGCCTAACCGGTTGGAGGAGGGAGGGGTGTCCCAATGGTGGCGGCGCGCGGACTTCCTTGAGTTCGGAGGCGCGCCAGAATTCTTCACATGATTGCCCACAAGTGTTTCGGAATGGGCCGCAAGACAGTCCAAGAACACCTTTTAGGATCTCTGCGAGCCCCCAAGACGGCCCATGAATCACCCGAAAGGCTCCCAAGACATCGAACACCGTCAGACGAGGTCCCCCAGACTGCCCAATCCCGGACACAGTTCGGAGATGAAACCTCCCGCACTCAGACGGCCCACTGACGGATGCGCTTTCGACGCCAAGGTTTCTTAGAGTTTCAGGTGACGGAGAAGCCACTCCCTTGGCCAGAAGGTTGCCGGAGAGATTTCCAGGAAGACGTGCAAGAAGGTCGCAAGACGGCCGTAATCAGACGCCTCCAATACAGTTCAAGAAGATGGCCCGAGGACGGCCCACGAAGGCCCCAAGACGGCCGAAGAGATCCCTAAGACCTAAGAGTCCTGCGGCCCGCAACACGGATTGAAAGGCAGCGAAGAGGTGGATGACATGATTAAGATATGTTTTCCCCAACACTCCTTGGTTGGGTATTCGTTTTGAATAGAGCACTGCGGTCGCGTCCATCTCCCGCTTCCCGCCTCTCGCTTTCCTCTTGTCTCCTCCTGTCTTGTGCGTACCTCGTGTGTGTGTGTGTGTGTGCATCCTGGCTGCGGTACCTCTTGTGCGTGCATCTTGCCAAGGGGCTGCGATCTGTGACACTGTCGCCACTTTCGAGAGCTGCTGGTGGGTCCTGCGGAGCGAGGCACCGCGGGGACCTGAGCGAGACCTCGCCGTCCCTGGGGTTCTGCGATCTGCGACGCTGTCGCCACTTTCGAGGGCTGCTGATGGGTCCTGTGGAGTGAGGCACCGCGGCGACCTGAGCGAGACCTCGCTGTCCCCTGGGGGGCTGCGATCTGCGACACTGTCGCCACTTTCGAGGGCTGCTGTTGGGTCCTGTGGAGTGAGGCACCGCGGGGACCTGAGCGAGACCTTGCCGTCCCTGGGGGGGGAGGGGGG